TTTTAAAGTTTTTAATTGTGTTCTTGAAGCGTTTTTTGTATGATTTCACCTGAGCCAAGTCACGTGGAATGTTTTGACAATGTTTTTGTCTCCTATCTGGCCACCTTGTGTGTTTAAATGAAGTCTAATAGATGTCAACGTGGCTAAAACAAGGCTTTCAGTAAACATCTAATAGGCGTCTAAGAATAGCCCAAAATTAGACTATTCATCAAAGAAACAGAAATTAATGACTACTCAAGTCTGTCTAATCTGTGCATTCTTAGACGTCTATTAGATTTTCACTGACAGCCCAAATTTAGCCTTGTTTTAGCCAAGGTGTCTATGTTTAGACATCCATTAGACATGTGTTAAACACAATATTTTTGGTGGGTTGCAGTCAATGGAGGGTCAGAGAGCTCTTGGATTTAGTCTGAAATGTGAAACACAAAACTTGTCTTATGTTGCACAGGTATACATTTGACAATGGCCAACAAAAATGGGTTGAAATTATGGATTTTTTAAAATTTCTTCAAAAATCATTAGGATAATAAGTGAAGATCATCATTCATGGAGGCATTTTGTAAGTTTACTACTGTAAATTGAACAAAACTTGACTTTGATTAGATTAGATTCAACTTTATTGTCATTACACATGTACAAGTACAATGCAACAGAATGCAGTAGTTATTTTCATTGCTAAGCACTTCATTTAGGCAACTTTATAAGTGATTTTTTCCTAAAATTCCAGAGGTTCAGATAGTTGTATCTCTGCCAAATATTGTCCTATTCTAACAAACAAAAAAAAGAAATTGATACTGATGACTTGTTTTGTAGTCCAGGGTCACAAATATCTTCATTTGTGTGTCTGAAGAGAATCTCAGGGGTTTAAAATGCCATGACAAGGAGTAAGCAATAGCAGGATTTAAATTTGATAGGGAACTAACCCTTTAAATGAAACAAACCCCTTAATGATTGCTCTGTCATTCTCAGGATGACAGCACAGGAGAGATGATCTTCGACGAAGTCTTCCATGCTCTGTCGCGCTGCTTAATCGGTCTGGCAAAACCCTTTACAATCCCAGGAACGGATCATGTTTTCCAGCCCAAAATCTTCGTCACTATTTTGGCATATTCCTCCATCATTGGCCTTAGTTCTCACCAGGTCTGGATCTCAGGCGATTGTGAATCTACATCTGCACATTGATGGAGCGGTTTACTGAGCTGTTTTCTGCCTTCAGGTGTTGGTTCAGGGCTGTCAGCTGGACTGTATGGATTTGGAGCAGTTCTTGCATCAGATCTATCAGCAGTTGAGAGCCGTGGAGAGCAGCATCGCTGAAGTCTTACAGCAGCAGCACAATCAGGCAAGTGCTTGTTCTGTGTGCAGCAAATTAGCTAATTTTTTATATGCATTGAAAGCGTAATAAATGTGTCAGGTGTCTAATTTAGTGTTTTTAAAAGCTTAATCTCACCATTTTTCATTAGTTTATGTTAGCTAGTGTATTTACAAGTGTTGTTCATTCAAGTATGAACAACACTTGTACAGCATTTATTAAGCATAGTTCACTCAGCATTTACTAATGTATTTTTAAATTCTAATTATG